AAGGTTATTGATAAAGATTAGCATGCCGAGAAAATCGTTGTTCATCTAAGACAGACTAAATTTCGACGGGCGAATCGTCTATGTGAGAATGGGCAGTGCATTTTAAGCTGAAACAATTTTTAATAACCCCTAGATGGCACCCTGTGTAGCATTTAAACTGAACAAAGTTTTGATCAAAAATAAATCAAAAGTCATTATGGAGAAATCTTCAGAGGAAGGCATTGGCCAGCTATGATGATGATAGTTGTTCATCAACAGAACATTCCAAGGTTAAGAAAACTGAGATGGGCATAGTAGGCCCTGACCCTCTATGGGTTTAGTTTTAGCTTTCATTGTTATTTGGGATAGCCTTGATGCCAGAGAAGGCATTATTTATCAGAGGATGAATATACTTGTATGATAAATGTACCAATGAGTGAAAGTTATGATTCCTTTGCTAAAGAGTTAAAAAGTGATACAGTCTTCATTTTAAATTTTGTTACTTCTTCTTGTAAATTGCTTTTGTTGTATATTTTTTCTTCATGTAAATTGAGGGAAAAACATTATTAAAGTCTGGTTTCAATGTATATGACAAATTATGTAAGAATCTAAAATGGTATCAAAAATTATGGCAGCAGTACTTTATTATTTGTGATTTTTTTCTAAACTCTGACCTAGTGGTGCAAAACCTCGGTTCTGTAGTATAATTCCTTTCACTTCTGCTTCGTCCTAAGTAAGCATTTGAAACAATGGTTAAATATTAATGATACAAACTTTTTAGTCTATGTGATAAGTTCAAAAGTATTTAATGATCACTTTTAATTAAGAATAAAGTATAAAGAAGCATTTTGCTGGGATGAATTCCAAAAATAGGTAATTTGAGAGAGCAAATGGTTGCACATTTTAAATTGTAACTTCCCTCGAAAATGGTGGAAATAAGAAAAAAGATAAACATCTAAAAAATTCATTATCAAGAGGCAGTCATTTTGCTATATTTAGAATATTATGTTACATTATTTAATGATCTAATTAAATATTTTGTTGTAGGGGAAATTTGCTGTATTCAAACTACAAATTTAGCTAATTAATAATTTAAAGAAAAAAAAACTTGTGTATTATTGCAAACATTTTTGTTCAACAATACCACTGAGCAAATATTTTAGATATAGTGGACCCGTTGATGGTCCAACTGTTTTATATAGAAGAATGACTAAGTTTAATAGTTTTATTGTTGTTTTTAGAATTATATACCTGAGCTAACAAGAGAAGACATCCTCCAGGCACTCAGAGGAAAAAGAAATGTTATTTTTGGAAATATTGAAAAAATCTATGAATTTCACAATCAGTATTTTTTGGTAGAGTTAGAACACTGCGAAAATTCACCTTTCACTGTGGGACAATGCTTTTTAGATTTTGTAAGTCTCTTTTTGTTTATTTTTCATTTTTCTAGAGATGAGGTTTTTTTTTAAAGATACTTTAAAGAACTAAAGTTTATAATTAACTATACTTTACAATTTTAACTAAAATATTGCAATACATTTCAAACAAATTTAATGCATTAAAAATTTTTTCACTGTATGTGTAAATGAATTGAGAGGTATCATTTATTTCAAGAATATAAAGGTAACAGAATTTATTTCACATTTGTTTTTTACTATTTGTAAATGACAAAAATAGTTTCTTTCATAAGTTACCTTTATTGTAGATTGACAGATATTTCTATGTGATGTAACCTTCTATTTTAAAAAAAAGTTTTTTTTTCTCAATTTAAAACAATTTAAAAAAAAAAATTCTATTTGTAAGATATAGAAATGCACTTACAATATTAAATTGTAGTTTGAAGGATTGTGTTTATGTAATCATTTAATTACCAAGTACTAATGTAATTTTACTAATTGACACTTATTAACACAGCAATATATTAATAAGAAATTTTAAGACTATGAAAATTTTTAAAATATCTCACATTATAATGATTTGTAAGTTTCTTAATTTAAAATATTCTTGATCTTGATTCGCTAGAGATGCATTTGTTTGTAATTTATAATTTGCACTTAATATTTGTACTTAATATTGTACTCAATATTTGTATAACAGTGAGAAAATAAAAAATTCCTAAAAAATTTTTTGTTAAAAAATGTGTTGCTTTGCAAAACTTTTTCTTGTTCAAAACACATATAAGTCAATTTGTGTATTTCTTAGTTTGAATTCCTTAAGTTAATAAGTGGGATCTAAATATTATTTAATAAATTATTACTATTTCAATATATTTTTATTATTTTACAACACATGTGCTTGTTTATTCAAGAATTGTGTAAAATCAAATGAATTTTTTTTCTTGTATAAACTTATTATCGAAAAATATGAAAAAGTTATAGTACTGAAATTTTTTTAAAAATTTTTTGGGGATATTTTGATTTTAAAAAAGAAATATTGTTCATAGGGAATCTTACACTCTTGGAATTTTTTGCACTCTTGCTTCTGTGTACATGAATATTTCCAATATTAGTAAAGTAATGTTAATGTATAATTAGTTCACTGATTAGTTAACTAATTCTAATTTATGAGAAATATAAATGTTTGTTAAAATGAGTTAAATCAATCAATTCAAGGATTAATATTTAGTAGAGATATTAGAATAAATTTCCTAGTTACATGTTATTTTATTGTGTTATAATAAGGTCTATTTTCTATACTCTGCAGCTTAACATCAATCAAAATAATAGTTTCGGGTTATTCATAGAAATAAAATGAAATTAGGAGTACACAGGGTTTCAAAACTGTTTATTATTATTATTAAGAGAAAAGAGGAGTTAAAATGGGTGTAAATATAAATGGATTTTATATAGAATGAATAAGGTTGTTGAATGTTTTTTATTTTATTAAGCTGATTGTTTTTGTATTTTTAATTTAAAGGTGATTTTTTAATGATTCAATTAGTTTTTTTGAATTTTAGTATGAACAGCATGTATAATTCATAAAAAAGTAAAAAGTGGTGTCAAAATAAACTTTTTCTTAGTAACTTTAAATTTAAAAAAAGGCAACACTATAAAATCTGGTGCATTATTGTGAAAAGAATATCAAACTCTGCCCATCTTCTAGTTTTAATTCCTGATAAACATTAAAAAAGAAAAAAAAACATAGAAAATAAGTAATAATCAATATAAAATTTAACAAATAATTCCTTCAAGATTATTGATACACGTCTCTATTTTAATCATTACAAGTACTTCAATGATCATTCCTGTGCAAATGTTTAAAAAAGTAAAAAGTAGTGTCAAAATTTAAGTTTAATTTCTAGTTTATAAAATGTATATGTAAATATACATTGAAATAAAATAATGTTCCTTGGTATTAAACTCTTTTAATTAAACATATTTTATTTTAGATGTTAGCAATTAATTATTTCTCTAATTTATTTTATCATTTATCTATTTGTTACAGATATAAATGAAACAAAAATTTAATAAAGCTTTTCTACAAAAAAATAAGGATAACTAAAAGATTCCTAAAATATAATGTTCTTTAGCTTGAAAAAAAAAAGTTAAAAGTGGTGTAATTTGTAAACAAATTTTTTTTAGGGAAAAATGATTTCTTCTCTAACTTGATTTCAATACAGATTGTAATAAATTTTGGTTTTTGACAGTAATTGTCAAAACAAAAAGACAATTTAATTTTCAAAATAATATTGATTGATCACTTATAATTTTATATATATGTTTATTTATGAATACTTCTTATTTATGATAGCTAATAATTATCCTTTGCTCTAAAATTTTAGGTTTTTGACGCATATCAAAAAGGTATTTTTAGCACAAAGGATAAAGTCATGGTTAAAAATAGATAAAACCACCAGTTGTCAAACACTTGCCAACCCTGATACTGTGTACATTAAGACCATTGTTTTGTGCACTCCTGTCAATTAAAAAATTATAATTTGATGAAACTTTGAAACTTAAGTTTAATCCTGCTAACAAGTCATTTACATAAACATGATTCTTCAGCCAATTTTATTCTTTTGGTTTGACGGATTTTTGCCACTTTGAATATTTGGGACTGCGCCGGTATCAACTAATGTTGCGATTCATATTCACACGATTTTAATATCAAACATCGATTTTCATTCGATTTACTTGTTTGATTCCTATTCACTTGTTTAAAAGTCCAATAATTACACATTTTAAAAACCCAATATCGCGACTCATTTTCACATGAATTTAAAATCCAATTTCACAATTCCTACTCACACGTTTTTAAAATCTGACTGTGATTTGTATTCATGTGTTTGTTGTATCAAATATTCATTTTCATATTTATGCGTGATATAAAAAATATGCATTGCAATTTATATTCACATGATCCAAAAGTTATACATTGTGATTAATTTTAATGCGATTTAAAAATCAAATCTCACGAATTGTAATTAAGCTTGTTTTTAAAACCCAATATCGCTATTTATATTTACACGATTTGAAAACCCAATATCTCGATTCATATTCACGCGATTTAAAAAATATTATATATAGATTCTTGTTGGAAGTAAGTTTTTTAAGGAAGTAAAGTTTGTTTTTTGTTAGTAAGAAGTAAGAAAACATTTAATATTTTGGAAAAGGAACAGCACATTTCAACTTCTTAACTCGAAGGCGATCATTCAACTTCTGTTCACTTACATAACTGTGGTTGCGTCAGGGTTATGGTTAAATTTAGAGTCAAATAGTACCTCGGAGTTCCTCGACATGCTTATCATGCTTTATGTTCCTATTTTTGTTTTTAGCAAGTTGACAGCTATGGGTATTTATAAATAATTCAAAAATTACATTTATTATCTTTAATGTGGATAACTACGTCCGCCAATTATCAGTCTAAACTTCTCTGTAATTCTTAAAAACAATTTTTCAGATTTGCAAAATTATGTTACCAATTTCATATGCAGTTGTATGAGTTGACAAAAAATAAACAAAAATATCTTTTTGTTGTACTATTAAATGTCATATCTTTTTTAAAACTAATTAATTGATAATTTCAAATGTGTTGGAACAATAGTATCTTAAAGAAGGATCCTTAAAATTATTGAATTCCGAATAAAAGTCACAAAATGTTTTGTGACTTGATTCTTATGAAGATAAGTTTTAATTGTAATTCTTAATATTGTAATGCCATTTAAATCTAATCTTACTGAGTAATTTTCTGTTCTAAAAGAATATGCTTCCTTTGTTTTTCAGCAAAATGAATTTTATATGCCTTATACAACAAGAATAAACCTAAGTCAGATGCATTGATGTCAGAGTATGGAAATACATTTTTTAGAGTATGTTATTTCACTTTCTTTTCAAGTTAAAATATTTTAGGAAGCTTATTTGCAAATGTCATTTATGCAAACTTATTCAAAAAAAAGGGAATTTTTGTGAGGTGTCATTATTCTAATTTTTAAACTGGCTGTTTTGAATGTTTAAAAGTTTTTTAATCCTATGAAAGACTGATTTTAAAAGTCTGCATCCATAAATGGTGTTCCTAATTTTTTGTAGACAATTAGTTAAGGAAAATCATATTACTGTTAAAGGAGCTTAGTTATCTGTTTTAAATTGCTTAAAATACAATTCTTATTAGTGAAGGGTGAGCTAAG